CAATTATATTCTCAAAATGGCCATCGCAACCTCAGCAGTTCTTGTGTTTTCCTTAAAATATAGGAGAAAATTTAAACTTCAATATCCTTTGATAATTCGGAAACTAGTCGCCCATTTCGTGTAGATAACACTCCGTAATTAACTCTTCAGTCATTATGTTTTGCGTGTTTTGGCAGTAATCTTTGTGTAATTTGCTTATAATGCTTAAGCTAAACTGCCACTAGTGTTGATGCTGGCATGAATGCTATAAATAATATTAATTGTGCTTGAACTATTCTTTGTTTCTAACATAACAAAGGGTCATAAAAGGCAAGCATTTTCAAATGCTGCATTTCGACCTGGGATTCAGGTCAAGCATTGCTTTAAACTGTCCCCAGCCTTATGTTTATTAGTCCCTTATATGTCCATATACCTTTAGCATAAAAATGCACTTTGTTGTTCTTCCTTTCGTCCTACCGTATTCCGTTATTTTCTCCTTCCATTTTGCATTGTTGTTGCCCAACTGTCACTTTCAAACAAAATCACTCACCTCATCTTATGATTTTGCTTATTTTTCAGTCGGGCCCGTCGGCTCCGCTTCAGGTCATTGCTGGCCTCCGCCTCGGACATCCAACTGTCCCACAACCGAATCAGCAAATGATATGATCAACGACTGCTCACCACATCTGACTTCGCCTCAACATCGTCCTCAACAGCAGCAGCTTATCTTGCAGCAACAACTTAACCAAAGTCAACATGGATCAGTTCCCATGGTTTCTTCGCATGCAGTCTACTCCCAGCAGCTTAGTCAAGCCAGTTCTCCACATCACTCTCAACTTCATCATTCTCATCATCAACACATGCACGCACAGTCACAACAGCATCAGCAACATCGTCAACAACTTCCATATCGGCAAATACACCAGGCTCCGGTTCAAGCGTCCGCTAACCCAAGACAGCTGCGCACTGTTCATCAGTTAAATCAGTCAACTTCTCATAATCATCCTCATCATATGAACACTATAAATGCCAACGTTAACAACTCTTCACATGGCCTGGGGCAGTTGGGCACGTCAGGCCCACGCACGTCTGAGCCTTGCCACTACACACATCTGCCGGGAATCGGCCGGATTCCAACTGGCCCTCTTTCACATGAGGGTGACTGGCATCTCTCTAGATCACATCATTAGCGGATAGCTAAACTAATCCTGATCATACTTAAACTTTGGTACAAGTGAGTTTACAAGAGA